TCTCTATAACAATCAGGCAGTGTTCATTGTCCCCCTAGCACTTCCTGGAGTAGCAGTCATGCCGAACACAACACTCCCATTTCCCCAGATAAATACACCGCTACCTCATGTGAACACCCCTCTCCTTGCGGTAGAGCCGCGGTTCCCACCGAGATTGAAGTGCGGCAATTTTATGAGCTAGTACAACACGTTCGAAGCTTGAACCACCAAATGTGGGCGTGGGAGATGTTCGGTGCATTCAAGCCACCGTAGAATAATTAGTAGTAGAACAACATGAACCACTAGCAGTCTGGCGACAAGCGCCCCGGAATGAGGCCTCCCCCACAGGTCGACCCCTTCGTGGTTCCCGCAGGAGTTGACAGCCAACAGATTGTGGAGCAGCCCTGCTGACCTCAACTCATTTTGTATTTGCGATCAACGATAATCAGCCCAGATAAGCCTCGTCAGCCTTGGTCACGAGGTCTCCCCTATTGATCAAGCCCTTCACGACTCCCACGGGAGTTTGTGGCTTACAGATTGTGCGAGTTGGCGACTTACAGTTAGTAGAGCTGCCCCCGTTGGTCAAGCTCTGTGTGGCTTATTGTAGGAATAGACGACCAACATCTCTGAGGGCTGATGTAGTGTAGTCGTGGCGTCAACCTACCATCCAACGTAGAGAGCAATGTACATATCAACAAAACTCATAAGCATAATAGAAATCAACAACCAGTCCAAACGAGCCTTAGCGATCTGGCCCAGACTATCTCTAGCCCAAACTACGAAGCCTCACTACTAATCGAGCCCTTTACGACCCCCATGAGAGTTGGAAGCAAACTAAACGTGGAACCAACCTCACAGGTCAAAAATTTCATGGTTCTCGTGAGAGTAGGCGACTTGTAGACAGCAGAGCCACCCCCTCAAGGTGAGCCCCCCATAGCTCCAGTAGAAGTGCGCAGCCAGTAGTTCTAAGAGCAGGTGCAATACATATATGGCATTGACCCGCAAGCGCAAACCCGGGAGAGTCAATCCCACGTGATGGCATAGATGCAACCACATTTAAAGCTACTACAGAATGACTATCCGCCTTGGCAACCTAGTTAAATTGAATTCTAAGGAAAAGCCATACCACTTTTTAGCTAAGGCCCCCCCCCAAGCCGACCTCAAAGCATGTCAGCAACAAGAAGACCAATCTCAGTAGGTCGGCCCCTTATCTATCTCGCTCGACAGCGTAATGATTGTCGTTATTGCACTTAATCAATACCAAAAGACATCAACATCTCATCGCCAATTTAAGAAAGAGAGAGAGAGAGAGAGAGAGAGAGAGAGAAAAGAAACAAAGGAAGGGAAGACTAGTTCGCTTTCAGCACCGTGGCAGACATGCAAACTTGGTCAATCTCTTCACAGTCGACCTCCACCTCAGTTTCAGGCTTCGCATCGACCTCGCCAGCTACTCTTTCAAGAACCGACTCGAAGGACTTTGTGTTATAGTCTACCTAAGTGGAGAGACCTGATGAGGTAGTCACGCAGTTAGAAGCCATCTTGAGGACGACATGATGGACATCTCTCTTGAGGTATTGGGTTGAATTGCAAAACTCCTTGATGTATCCTTAGTAAGGTAGATGTTTTCAAAGTGCTTGCTTTGCCTCTCCTCAAGAGGATGAATTTGCTCTTATGCCCCGATAATCAAGACGATGAGGTCCTGCAGAAGGCTACATTCAACACTTAGACTCTTCCGACCTAGGGAGCAAACTGGACCAACGCTATGAGCTCATCAAATTAGTTACTCTGGGCCAAAGAAACAAGTTACTCCCTTCATTGAACTGATCTCAACTCAGGAGTGGAGGGCAATTGATGAGGGCGGATTTGGCCCTCCAGTTACATCATGACACATGGAATCTCAAAACAACTAGATGACACCCCTACACCACCTAGGCAATGAATTGCCTTAGCCAAAATGATGAAGTCCAACCTAGCGACTAGCCTTTGCCAACCTGGTGGAAATCTAGCTGGTGACCTCGTCCACAACTCAAGGTGGCTTGCAGCACCTTGTCCAGGGCCAACCTGTGGAACCTCATCAGTACGATCGAAGTGGCCTCGATGAGGAGCGACCTGCGAGATGTGCTCATCGACCAATTCTGGATGCATTCCATCACTCCCGGGTCTCTCGGAAGTTGCCTCCCACACTAAATGTTCTAGAGGAAACCAAATAAGGCATAAAGATTGGCTTACGTGCATGACTACCTATGAGGATTTCGGACTGGTTAGGCATGTTCTCCCGGAGACCTCGAACGCGATGCATGAAGCCCATGATAAACGATGTCTATATAAAGGCACCAACCCTAATGACACAAGGTACATGTGATTTATTGCATTCTATCTTTCTTACCTTCAACCCTTCAGCTCGCGCACATTAAGATACTAACTTAAGCATCGGAGTGACCACATTGGGTGAGCCACCCTGGGTTCTCTAAGTATTCATTCATTGTAGTTCGACCGAGCAGCTAAGCAACTGACGGCTGAGCTTCCCTCCAACTAGGATAAACCAGATCGTGCACCATCACCTTTGTTTTCAAAAAGGGTGGAGCACATAGAGACCATTTTCTAACTCTATAGAAGCAATGAATTTGTTATTCATCTTAATAATAATCTTATTTCCAAAAAGTAAACAATAGTCATCATTGCATAACTTTGAAGCTGAAATCAAATTTCTTCTTAATTGCATAATACAAAAATAATCTTTAAGTAAAAATAAATCATTCCCTAAAAATTATTTCCATTTTCTATAGTAGTAGAAACAAATGATTTTGAAATTCCCATGTAAAGTACAACCTCTCCTTTAGGCTATGTTTGGTTTGAAGGAAAAAGTAGGGAAAGGTAAGGATGCCTATACAAATCAAACATAACCTTAGTCAACCTTCTGCTTTCCTTTAAATTAGGTTACGGCCGAAGTGATCAACATATTGCCTTCATGACTAGTGATTCAAAGTTACCTTCAAAAGACTTCTTTATAAGGTCTAGCTGTGCTATGGAAACTTTTTCTTCTAATGCCCCATCTATTTGTAGAAATGACACTTACATGATGATTTATTTTTTTCTTCTTCTTAAATTTGGTATCTTTCTTATTTTAAGGTTTTCTATTCAACCTCCTCATTTTTCTTTTCATTTTTTCCTCTATCTACAAAAAACGAAATGTGATTTTCCTTCCTAATTTGTTCTTCAACTTTTTGCAACATATTTTTAGATCTTTTGTGGCGATTCCCATCTTATTCATCTTAAAATTCATTACAAACTTATTAAAGGAAGTGAAAAAGAGAGTTAAGGATGGCATTAGTCTCAATGTCATTTCCCAATGTGCTACTAAGTGTTTCTAATTCATTTATAAAGCCCACAATCTTTATAACATGCTTATTAACTAGTTGGCTCTCAGTCAAACTTGTGTTCATCAACATTTTATGATCTTTTATTTGATAAAACGATTTTACTCTTCATACATGGACTTAATTCATTCCAATATTTCTTTGTAGGTTGAGATGTTTTAATATAGTTTTTGGATATATTTGTCCAATAAAGCAAGAATATAACACTTTGTAAGAGAGTTCTCACCATGTAAATCATATAATCCTGCCTTTAATCCTTTGCTCAATTTCCGAGTGCTCTAGGGGCAGCTTGGGTGGCAACCTTGTCTAATTTTTCAGATGCGAGAACTATGTTGATGTTACTTTTCTAGTCAACATAATTTGGGCCTCTGATATTGTTATTATCAAGTAGTTTAGCAAAGGATCCATTTGTCATTTCTATAAATAAAAAAATACATTAATTAGTCTACTACATCGTTTCATGTATCCCTTCATTTAAGGGACTTTATTTATGTTCCATTCTTATTTTCATATTTAAGAATTCTCTTAGTTTTAAAGATAGATATTTTCACATATCTGAGAATTTAAAGAATTGTATATGTGCATGGAGCCAATTGATTCAACATGATAATCCCATTATTTTCTATAAATAATGAAGAATAACATAGGTGCATGGGGCAATATGTTTCAAGTAGATAACCCCATCATTTTCTTTAAAGGATACTAATTATCTATCTATCTAATATGCATCCTCTCTACCTTCTAACAGACAATATTCATTATCATTTATAGGTTAGACCTTTCTAATAATGAGTGCAATCCCATCAAATTGATGACCCCAATGTACTATGAAATGGTCTTCCATTTTATGATAAGCCCCTCTCATTAGTTTATGATGCCTTTATCACCTAACGAAGTAATCTAGCATTAAGGATCAAGTAGATAGCCCCACTTTATGGTGCATCTCTTTTACCACATCAAATCACCTTCACACTATTAATTGAAGTCATTAGAGATAATTTCGTAAAATTTTCCCTATAGTGCACTCATATTTTCATGTGGGAATTCGATGAATTAATCCTTAGTAAGTCTAGGGTTTGTTCAACCTTTGTGACTCTCCCTGTTATGGACGCATTCCTCGGAAAGACGTACCATTGCCACCAGCAGCAACAGGAACTTGACCCATCGCCAGATTAGATTAGATCATCTTGCTTGTTCTTATCTTATTCTATTGCTCTTATCTTATCTTGTTAGTAAGTTATCATATTAGGATTAGTTTATCTTATTATCAGATTAGGATTAGTTTATCTTGTTATCAGATTAGGATTAGTTTATCTTATTATCAGATTAGGATTAGCTTATCTTATCCTTAGCAAGATAGAATTGAAAGTCTCCCTATTCAGCAAGGAGACTCCCTAAGATTAGGACTCTTGTAATCTCCTATTTAAGGAGACATCGTTATTGAATGAGGATATCGAATATTCAGTCAAGAAAGAGAGTAAAGGAGAGTTAGGTGATCTCTTGAACAAATCACCATTAGGGCGCCTAGATAGGTCCATCAAGAGCAGGGGGAACAAGGGAAAACAGAGGGTTTTCCCCGTGGACCGACCCGTGACGAGATCCTATTCGCGGGCCCATAACATTTTGGTATCAGAGTCGGTCGTCATGGGAGATCTGCAGCAACTATCATCCAGGGTCCACGAACTAGAGCATAGGCTCGTAGAAACCAGCAGGGAGGTTCGTGAGGTCAAAGACGATGTCCGGGAGCTGCGACGCTTGCTGGAATCGTATTTCTCTAACAKGGAGAGGAATCCAGAAGGGGCTGTAACCACAAACAGCCTCCAACCAGACTTGACGGAGCCGTCCGGCGAACAACAACAGCAGCAGCAGACTCTTCTTGGTCCACAGCAGCAGCAACACCCTCAGCCACCGCAACCAAACAACCAACAACAACAACAACTGCAGCAGCAGAAGCAACAACATGATCAACAACARCAACAGCAGCTTCTCCGAGCAGCTATTACTAGTCCTAGTATAGTTGCCCTGAAACTGGCCCCTAAGTCCTATGGGCCCTTCAAGGTTCTATGACGGATTGGCAGTGTGGCCTACCAGCTGGAACTGCCAGAGACCAGCC